CAAAGAATAGAAAAAGGAGTATTTTACGAATCCAATTTTTTATTTTTTGATATTCAAGCAAACATATTTAGCTTGAAATTCTGTTAATAAATTGTCATTTTAGCAATCTGGAAAATCAACATGTCAATATTGATCTAAAAAGCAATAATTTTTTACTTTGTTTGAACAATTTAAAATTGCCTAGAGGCTGGTTAGATGCAACATTTCTACTGCACAAAACTAAATTATTTTGTTTGTTTACTAACAATGACATTTTTTCAATGAAATAAATTTAGATAATTACTTTTTAACTAAGTAATAAATTAGTTTAATGAAAAAAAAAAATCCTATCTAACCAGCCTCTTAATGAAAATTTGGATTTTTTTAAAATAAAAAACAAATATTTTGTTAAAATAAATTAATATGTGAAGGTTTCAATGTACATACAAAATGAGGGTGCATTATTAATATATGACTTAGTAATTTTTAAAAATGATCAATCCACTGATAATACATTGAGGTATATTAACATATGTCTAGCAACATCTGAAATTTCATTGATGTCTAATAAGACCAAAAGCATATTTTTACTACAGATGTAACCACACCTTTTTTTATTTCATTTTTTTTTTTTAAACATCTTTGCTTCCAACAAGGCTGCAAGCAACCACTAATTAGTGTTGGAAGTTACTGGAAGAGAAAAGAGGAAGATTGTAGAGCAAGATAACGATTGACAGACGACTTAAAAGATTGCAAATTATATGAATCAGGAAAGCAAGATGAAGGAAACAAATTCCAAAGAACTGATGTTCGAGGAAAAAAACTAGACAAGTAAGAGTTTTTTGAGCACTTAGGAACAGTAACAGAAAAAGGATGAGACTTAATTGAATGACGAGTAACACAAGAATGAAATTTAGTAGATGCCACAAAAAATGCTAGCTCTTTAGAGCAGTGCCCATTATAGTATTTATAGAAAAGAGAAAGAGAAGCGACATTACGACGATGTGACAGAGGTTGAAGGTTGGCTGCAAGAGCAGGTCCGACTATGTTTACATTGCGTTTTTGCACCTTGTCTAAAAGAGAAAGGGCATCATTAGAAGATCTGCCCCAGATATGGCAACAGTATTCCATACAAGGCCGGATTTGAGATTTATAGAGATAGAGAATAGAATCCAGAGTAAGAAAGTGTCAAGCTCGATAAAGAGAAGCAACTTTACCAAATGCTAATTTTGAAACGGATTTGATATATAGTTTTCAAGAAAGATCAGAAGAGTTATACCTAGAAGATGAAGGGTAGGAGACTCATCAAGTACATTACCACTCATAAGTATAGAAAGGTCTAAAGTATTGCAACTATGATTGGCTGAAAAAATTGAGTTTTATCTGAATTAAAGTTTACCAGCCACTGTAAGCTCCATGCTGTAGCAGAAGTGAGATCCTTTTCAAGCTCAGATGCCCCCTGCAAGCAATCAGAGGGAGTTGTCTTCTTATTGTGACAAGAATGTATAATAGTATCACCAGCAAACAATACCACCTTATATGTGAGAATATCTGGAAGATCGTTAATGTAAATTAAAAAGAGAATAGGGCCAAGGATTGAACCTTGAGGAACCCCTGAGGTTACAGAATAAGAAGAGTAGTGCTGTCCATCAAGGACAACTTTTATACTACGAATGGAAAGGAAGTAATCAATAATCTTAAAGATGTTTCCAGATACACCATAAGAAGATAGCTTATGGAGAAGACTAGCATGCCAAACTTTATCAAATGCTTTACAAATATCAAGAGCGATGGCCTTAACCTCTCCACCTTTATCTAATGTGCAATAAAACCTATCGGTTATTACTGTTAGCAAATCAGCCGTAGAACGAGAAAATTGAAATCCATAATAATGATCAGAAAGTAGGTTATGAGATTTGAGATGAGAGACTAAATATTTGTTAATTAAAGATTCAAAATCCTTGCTTTTGATAAGACTAATGGGACAGTATTTTGACGAATCGGATCGCTCTCCAGAATTTTTAAAAATAGGGATAACAGATGCTGCTTTCCAGCAGGCTGGAAAACAAGACTCTGATAAGCACTTGTTAAATAGTTTTGAAAAGATAGACAACAGCTCCGGACACTTCTGCAAGAATATAACAGGCTTTAGCGTTAGACAAAACCTTTTTACAATGGTTCCTAGCAGTAATAAACAGACGTCTGTTTTGTGGAGAATTGTTTTACTGATAGATATGGAAGTAATGGTTTTGATTGGCGATTGCAGCAGCACAATTTGAGGAGAACCATGGAGAAGAGTGAGGCTTGACTTGGAATAGTCGAGAAGGAATAAAGAGTTCCATGCCAGCCTGAATTCACAAAGTTATGTAAGAAGCACATTTGTCAATGGGAAGACGAAAGATTTCTACCCAGGGGCCATCAATGAAAATCACGAAAAGAGTCCCAGTCAGTTTTAAGGTAGTTATAAGATGTACGATGATAGGGGGATTCTGATGATAAAGAAGAATGAGATAATAGTTTTAGAGAGATCAATCTGTGATCAGAGGCACCTAAGGGTGAATGTGGAGAAACTGAGCACTGACTAAGATCAGAAACAAGACATAAGTCGAGTAGAGAAGGTAAATGATTCGGGTTGTCTGGAAAGCGAGTTGGAAAGTTGACTATTTGAGTTTTGAGAGATTTCATTCATGACATTCAAGTCATGAATGTGACTTATGCACCATAGCAGATGTTGTATTCGAATTGTTTGTTTTCGAATTGTTTTCCGTTAGCGCGTAAGTGTAAATAACTTTCCAGGTCCGCACTTTAAACAATTTTCACAACCTACTTTTGGTGCATGCTAAAAATCGCTAACCGATCCAGAGATATGAATATTTAGTTGTAGAAACTTGTGGTATAGAACTTTTCAAAGTACTTACCTTGAGTTGAAAACTTAAAACAAATTCATTCATTTTAATTAAGTGCACATTTCTTGAATTTTAATTTCGAGCAATTTCTTTGTTAATATAACAAAATCTTATGGGATTGAGAAAGGCAAAAGTTGTGGGATTAAATGCCTTCAGAGTCACTGACACTAGAACCAAGCCATTCAGTGTTATAAATATTGAAGTCACTCGCAATAACAATATTAGCTGATGGATAAAGAGAGAGGGCTTGGTCAATATGATCAGAAATAACATCAAGAAGAGTGCAGTCTTGAGATGAGGGAGAGCGATATAGAACAAAGAGAAAGGTGATAGAGTGAAGTGGTGCTAAACGAAAGCACATAAAAGAGTTGTCTATGGATTCAAATCTAGTTTCCTGAAAAATGGGTGAATTCCTACAAATGTAAATGCCCAGGCCAAGCATGTGACTATTGGAGTCTTTACGAATTAAAGGAAGATAACCATCAACACTAAGATCACAAGATGAGACAGCTGAACTCAATTTAGTCTCACAAAAAGCAAATAGGTCTGGTGAACTTTGCAAGAGATAAAACTCAACAGAAGAAAGGTTACTTCGAAGACCACAAATATTAGTTAATGGTAGGTTTAGCA